CTTTTTTTTTTTTTTTTTTTTTTTTTTTTTTAGTTTTATTCATTTCAAACGGGCCGGATCTGACCCGCGGGCAGTAGTTTGCCCACGGCTGCTCTAGAGTATCTCAGTGAATTGGGGGAACTGAGGTACATAGTTACTCGGTGACTTTCACAAGCTTCCACACAGCTGAACCAAGAAATTCTAAACATAAGTATTTTAAGCAGCCTCTCTAAACTCAGAATTCTTCATTAGTTCCACAAACATTTATTGAGCACATACTATGTTCCAGGCAGTATGTTAGGCTCTGGGGATATAACAGTAAGTAAAATAGACATGGTCCCTTCTGCCCTCATGGAATTTCCAATATACATTTTGACGCATTCTTGAAGCACTCACAAACAAGATTAATTCCTTGAAGCAGAACCACATCAAGGAAGGAATTTCTATAACCAAAGGCATTCTCTGTGAATCTTCTAAGACTGGATTATTTTTCAGCTAAGAGCTCTTTCTGCCTCTTTCATTGTTTGCTCAGAAGCCTGTTTCATCAGGTAGATGCTGTCCTTTATCTTTATATGTGCTCCTCTTGTGTTAGTGACCTCTTGATGCTAGTTTTGAGATCAATTCTTTTTAAAAAGTTCATTGTGTATGTTTGTATGTTTATCAAAATATTACAGTATATGTTCATCATGGGAAATTTAGAAAATAGAGAAACAAAAATATTATAAAAACGGATATAATCCTTATGAAATACATATATTAGTTTATTTCTTTCCATTTTGTTTATGGGTTTGCTATTTGTTTACATAGCTGTGCTCATACATGAGTTTGCTCTTAACTGGGGCCTTCAAGTCTCCCTATCATCTTTCTGGGCCTCTGGGTCAGAATATAAACTTCATCAACATTGACTTAATGCCTATTTTTTGTTTTCTTGTTTTTTCTCCTTACAGTTGTGCTAATGGTCTTTTCCCTGATATCTGTCACCTATGGGGCTACCCTCTGCAATATGTTGGCTATCCAGATCAAGTACGATGAATACAAGATTCGCCTCGGGCCACTAGAAGTTCTCTGCATCACCATCTGGAGGACATTGGAAATTACTTCCCGCCTTCTGATTTTGGTGCTCTTCTCAGCCACTTTGAAATTGAAGGCTGTACCCTTCTTATTGCTCAACTTCCTGATTATCCTCTTTGAGCCTTGGGTTAAATTCTGGAGGAGTGGTGCCCAGATGCCCAATAACATTGAAAAAAATTTCAGCCAGGTTGGCACCCTTGTGGTGCTGATTTCCATTACCGTACTCTATGCTGGCATCAACTTCTCTTGCTGGTCAGCATTGCAGTTGAAGTTGGCAGACAGGGACCTTGTTGAAAAAGGTCAGAACTGGGGACATATGGGCCTGCACTATAGTGTGAGATTGGTAGAGAATGTGATCATGGTCCTGGTTTTTAAGTTCTTTGGAGTGAAAGTGCTATTGAATTACTGCCATTCCTTGATTGCCTTGCAGCTCATTATTGCTTACCTGATTTCCATTGGTTTCATGCTCCTTTTCTTTCAGTACTTGCATCCATTGCGCTCACTCTTCACCCACAACATAGTGGACTACCTCCACTGTGTCTGTTGCCACCGGCACCCTCGGGGCAGGGTTGAGAACTTGGAGCCATCATTTGATGCTGAAGCAAGGCAAAGTGTTGTCTAATTCTATCTCCTGGGTATTTGGGGATGGGTTTGGGGTGGCCAAGAACAACTGTGAAATTTAAGGAGGGGATGAGGCTCATAGCTGAATACCCACCAGAATGTTTTCCTGAGTTTTCTGGTAAGCTTTTCAGAAGAAAGAGCAGCCCTCAAATAGGTTTTATTTCCTTAAGATCGACTGCTATGTTTGGACACCAAGATAGCCACCATATATTCAGAAGGGTCCGAGATAGCATTTACACTCCTCCCACTCAGGTCAGCTGTCTCGTCTCCCTATGGGATAACTTACCTCCATGCACCTTAGGCTCTCAGTGACCTTCTAGCTCTGCTCATTTGCTTGAGGTGCATTACTGAGCTTTCCCGAGGCTAAGCTGAAAGCCCAGAATCAGACTAGAATATATCCTGACTGATCAGAGGATGTGACCGCTTACTATGTTTACCCTTCAGGAAAAATTCTGACTAATGTGGAACATGTAAGTGTAGCTGGAGTCTTTAATTCCAATGAGAAACTCTGGTTAAGAAGAAAAAACCCTACTATTAAAAGAGCTGCCCCCGAAATGAGTTAGCTTTCCATTAGGATTTTACTAATGATCATTCATCAAGGACCTCTCTTTTCAGCAGCCTATTGTAGGCACACTCTGAGGAGGGAGTGGAGAGTAGGATTCCTTCAGGGCACATGCCAGAATGACTTTTTCTCAGGGACCTGCATAGACCTGCAGCTTGTACGTACAGTGGAGTGGTTGAGTAAAATCTCTCACTTTGTAGCTCATTATCAGGGATTCCCTCCAACCCAGCTTTTCTGTGCTTCTGGCATTTTACTACTTGATATGAACCTCAGAGAAGGTGAACTGTAATTAAAAATGTTTCTAATGTGTGTAAGAAATGAAGATTTCATTGTGTCTTCTACTGACGAGTATTTTGTTGATTTGTTTTTTTAAGGGAGAGAGAATAGCTTGGATATCACCTTCATGTTGTTTGGGGTTGAGATGGTGGCTGACACCCTAAGGTAGAGTGAAGGCAGAGGAGGGAAATAAGATCACAGTAAATCATGTGACATGGGATTTTATTTTCTAATTTGGAGCATATGTTTATCATTCCCATACCCCTAATGGATGAATGCAAGTCTCCAATTCTTGTGTATCTCAATGCTTACATCTCAAATCATTTGGATATTTTGATGAGTATGTCACCTGGACGCCTCTAAGGCAGCCGTGGGCAAACTACGGCCTGTGGGCCGGATCCGGCCCGTTTGAAATGAATAAAACTACTGAAAAAAAAAGACCGAGTCAAAAAGTTTGCCCACCCCTGCTCTAAGGTAATGAAGGAATTGAGGTTACTATATCCACTGCCTATTGGGACCAAGAATCCCAGCAGTTACCTAAGTAATGCTTGCCCCTCACAGACCAGGAAGGTGAGAACTCACTAGTAGCATGTAGTAGTACCACAATTGCTGTGAGGAGCTATGAATATTCCAACCTAAGATTTCTCATTCCCATCCAATTTTACTCTTGGGATTGTGCTAAGAATTTAACTTTAACCATTTCCCTTCCTCTTATTCAGTCAGGACATGTTGCAGGAGCTCCCTCTTTTAAATAAGTAGCAGAGCTGTTAGCCAGAATTGTCCTATTTTCTGGAATATCTTGTGTGGTTTTCACATCTTCAACCACTGTTGGTGGCTAAAAGGATTGGAAAGTACTTAATTTGGGGGGACTGAAGTGACTTGCTTTGGAGCAGTGGAGATTTCCTTTTTCAACCCAACTCCCTCAGTCCATCTTTCATGATGAAGACAAAACTTAGATGGTCATTAAAGGCTTGCACTGCTGTCTTCTAACTATGTGATTTAAGGTGAATTTGAAAGAAATAATCTATCAGACCTCCAGAAGAACATACTGCCTTTTTGGTATTCTAACAAGAATTTCTACCCAGTGATTAATATGTCCTATATTAAAAGCAGAAGCAGTGTGAAACTATAATTTGCTCCATAAAAGCCATGTGAATCAACTACTTAAAGGGTGTGTGCTGTGGGAACATAGAGAGAGAGAGAGACAATGGGTTAGGCAGACCAATTAGAGCTAGAGAGGCGATACACAGGGTGGAAAAGCATGTCTTGGTACTGAACCAGGAATATTTTCCCAAGATATCCTCCCTAGCCTCAGTGACTTAATATCCGGGGAATGCAGGAAGTTTAGGGTGAAGGGTGTTGAGCAACTTCTCACCTGAAAAACCTGCTGCCTTTACCCAAGGAGAAGAGACTCTAGTGATACATTATGTTAATGAATCTTCAGTATCTCCTATAGGTGGTGGCCTTTCTGTTCTACAGCAGTCTTCTAGATACACAGAAGATGGAATTGTGGAATATGATGGTGGGGCAGGGGAAATGCCCCCTCTCACCTGCAAACACTTCTTTAATTGACTATTCTCTTTTTACCTCTGAAATCTTCAAGCAACACAGGGTACTAGGGTAGCGGCAAGTCTGACTGAGTGGGAGAGGAGGCAGAGATTGGGCCAGAAAATTGGTCTTGGAAGAGGAAGGCAGAACCATGAAGTTGGGGGAAAGGAAATAGGTTTTTATAACAACAACTTTTCTCATATTGGAAATTTGGTGGGCCACATGTGGGCAAATGAATATGGTAAAGAAATGTACTAGTATTATATAAACCATAGATTTTCAACCATCGTGACGCAATAATTTTTAAAACATGCAATGCCTGACTATTTAGTTGGGGACACTGACCTCTTTTCTCTTAGATTGTCAAATTAAAAAATGACAACAGCCAACACAACAATAGCCATACACTGTGAATGAATCAAAATTATACCTATTTTTTATTAGATCATTGTGCCACAGGATTTTAGTAATTTATTTATATGTGCCATGAGATAAAAAAAGGTTGAAAATCACTGGTAAATACTAATTGTTGTCAATTTTATTTGCTCCACAAATGCTTTAAATACTATGGGCATAGAACTGTGAGGCACTGTAGGAGAATTAAATAATAGCTAATATTAATGAGCACTTACTATATGTCTAGCATTGTGCTATACATTAATTATTTCATTCAATCCTTATGGGATAGGTACTGATATTATCCTACATTTTGCAGATAAAGATTCAAAGGCATAGAACAGTGAAGTGAACTGCCCAAGGTCACAGCTAGTGTCAGAGAGAGGATTCAATCTTACTAAGGCTCCAGAGCTTACGCTCTTAATCATGATACAAGCCTCTAAATCCTCCTAGGTCCTTTGTGAGATTATTTTAATAGGTTAGTGATTTCAGGAATATTTTCTGGGCTATGGCTGAATTCATATCAAACATTCTTTCTCACAAACACTCCTTATCAAGGGGCATGACTCAATTCACTCTAGAGAGAGGAGTCAAAACTTAAAAGGCCTGGGATAAAAACCGAGTGTGTGTTCACATGTACTTGTAGGTTGGTATAGGAGTGGAGATAGGGTGGAGGAGTATGGTAAAGGGACCCATTTCCTTTCTAGTTTCAGGATTTTGCCTCTTGTATGTTCTTAAACACACTTTTACCAGACCCTGGTTGTGGGAATAAAAATGGAGGGAGCAATTTTCACTCAGGTTTATATGAATTCTTCCTCCAGAAACAACCTATCAGATCAGGGCAGTGCTGAAGCCCATTCTTTGTTTGTTTGTTTTTTTAAATATGTCTTGCCCTAGCTGATTGGCTCAGTGGATAGAGCATCATCCTGCAGACTGAGGGGTCCCAGGTTGGATTCCGGTCAGGGGCACATGCTGGGATTGCGGGCTCGATCCCCAGTGGGGGGCATGCAGGAGGCAGCTGATCAATGATTCTCTCTCATCATTGATGTTTCTATCTCTCCCTCTCCCTTCCTCTCTGAAATCAATAAAAATATTAAAAAATATGTCTTTATTGATTTTAGAGGGAAGAAGGGAAGGGGTAGAGAGATAGAAACATTGATGAGAGAGAAACATTGATCGGCTGTCTCCTGCATGCCCCCTCACCAGGGATCAAGCCCACAACCCAGGCATGTGCCCTGACAGAAAATGGAACTGGTGACCTATTGGTTCATGGGTCAATGCTCAACCACTGAACAACACCAGCCGGGCTGAAACCCATTCTTTTAGACTTCCTCTTGCCAACACTGCCCTTACTCTCACTGAGAAGCTGACTTCTAGTCCTTAGAGCAGACCACAGAATGTGAGTGGTAGAGAATAGTACCCCTCCCCTGAGCTATTACAGTCCTGAGAGCCTAGGTCAAACTTCAGTGTACTTTAAGCTAGCTCCCTCAAGCCTGCATCTCACAAATGTCATGATCCTTGGCATTACAGAGGTGATTGCTATTTCACAGTGTGGAGGTGTGAAATACAGTGAGGGCAGCTGTATGATAAGGTACTCACCAGGACTTTCCATCTGAACCCATGGGGCTTTGTCTCTGAGAAGGCCTTTATTACAAAATTAGTGGACCCTCCAAAATATTACCGACCTCAAAGTGGGAATCCTCGTTCTCTGGAGTCTTTGCTATTGGACTTTATTACTGTCTTCAGGGGAAACATATGCCCATTATCTTATGCTTTTCCTCATGAAGGACTGGCACCATCAGTCACACACTTTGGTCTTAGAGCCTCTGGGGTTCCCAATGAAAGTTACCTCATGAGCCCTAGCAACAAAGCATATAGCATGTGAAACTGGCAAGTAGCAAGGCCAACCTGAGTGAGGGATGAGAACTAAGGGTGAAAACACATTTCTGTGTATGGAAGTAATATCTGAATAGCACTGCATAATATTAAAGGGCACATTTACATATATTAGCTCTGTTACTGTTATATCATTGTTAGGATAAGTCTTCTGAGTTCTACAAGTGGATTTGCATTGTACTAACCTTCAAGTCATCAATTATTAAATTGTTATTTTATGCCAGGAAAACCTGTGTGAATATCTCAAGGTGCTTTATAGAGGCTCAAAGACTTAAAGGAAATACCAAGTATTGCGCATAAGTGACGGAGATAAATAAACAGGCACTTTCATTACTGGTATGAGAGTAAAGTATTGGCACACATTTTTGGAAGGCAATTTGTCAGTATTTGTCAAAATTTTAAAAAATGGATATACTTTTTGTCTTGGAATTTTAACCTCTAAGAATTTTTCTTCTGGAAACATAGCTACCATTGTGCAAAGAGATATGTATAGGAATGTTCATTGCAGCATTTTGTAATGGTAAATACTTAAATTTCCATCTATAGGGAAATAATTAAATTCTGGCAACTCTAAAATTGGAATGCTGTTTAGTCATTAAGAAGAATGGGGTAGCCCAGCCAGTGTGGTCAGTAGTTGAGGATCAACCTATGAACCAGGAGGTCACGGTTCAATTCCTGGTCTGGATACATGCCCAGGTTGTGAACTCAATCCCCAGTGTGTGGGGTGTGCAGGAGGCAGCTGATCAATGATTCTCTCTCATCATTGATGTTCCTATCTCTCTCTCCACTCCCTTCCTCTCTGAAATCAATAAAACTATATATTTAAAAAAGAAGAATGATGTAGATGTGTACAGCATTACTAAATGAAAGGACAGGTGAAAAAAGCAAGAGAAAAAAATGTTTAGGATGAGGTTAGGAAGAATTACTCAAAATTTGGAAACAAGGGTTTTACAGGAAGAATAATGTACTCTTCCAAATATCTCCCACACCCTGATCCTCAGAACCTATGGATATGTTATGTTACATGTTAAGGGAGCATTGAGGGAGGGATTGAGATGACTAATTAGTTGACCTTGAAATGGGGAGTTACCCTGTATTATCCAGGTGTGCTAGATGTAACCATAAAGGTCCTTATAAGAGAGAAGGTGATATAAAGATAGAAGGGAAATATTTAAAAATATTACACTGTTGGCTTTCAAGATGGAGGAAAGGGTCACAAGCCAGAAATGCAGCTCTAGAAAGCTGTAAAAAGCAAGGAAATAGACTCTCCCATAGAGCCTCCAAAAGAAGCAGAACACTACTGACACCTTGATTTTTGGCTCAGTGAAACTGATTTTGGACTTCTGACCTCCAGAACTGTAAGAAAATGTTTTTTAAAAACCAACTAGTATATGGAAATTTATTATAGCAGTGCTGGTATATTAATACAAAGGGAAAAGATGATTACCTAATGCTTTA